ATACCCCACAAACATCCAAACCCTACGAGCACTATTGAACCCTATAAGCCTTGTAAACCACCTTACAAGCCCTCTAAGCCCTATATATAGACCCGATAAACCTTGAACCTGGTTCTAAAACCCTATATAAACCCTCTAAGCCCTAGAAACCCTAAACCCCAAGAGGGAGCGACGACTTCTGTTCCGGCTTGGGTCCGATGGGTTTGGGGTTCAGGGGTTTAGGGTCTACTTAGATAGCCAATGGGATTACTTTAAGCTGTTCGGTCGTATATCTTTTGTCGATCTTAAAGTTTGAGCTTTTTTGTTCCGGCTAGTGAAGAAGACAGGAGGACAAGATGCTGCCAAATTCAGCACAAAGGGATCCTAGGGACCCCTAGGGGGTATGGGGAAGGGGGGGGCCTTAATTTAATGCCCATAATACCTAATTTGGGCCTTTGTATAATCAGGCCGATTTCAGGAAGTATGGTCCCCTACCCCCATCCCCCTTACCCCCCTAAGGGTCCCTATGAAGGGAAGCTGGCGTAATATAGGGGTCGAAATAGTTAGCAACAACATCCCCTTATCGTCCCTATATAAAACAACATCAAACCACAAAACCCCCAGCCCGACAATGAAGGCCCCTATGTTCAGTTCGCCCGGCCCACCGTAGCCACACGTCAGAAAACCCACAACCCATCTGGACGATCGGCATTGGCATCCCTTGAAAGCTCTTTATATCTGTACTGCAGCAGCCCACCGAGAAAAGTTCGGTTCTGGTGGTTTCGACGCCTTTCTTAAACCCACAAAAAACCGCCTTTTACTTGAATGCCACATACTAAACCCTACAAAACCCGACATCTTTAGACTGGCCCATGCAACGTCGTAAAATCTGCCTCCAGTTCTGGCCCCTAGATTAGCCTACACGCCTACCCTTCCACCCTAAAACCTAAGAGGCGTGAACTATTATTCTTTAGGGATCTAGGGTGTAGGATTCTTACAGTGTCGTTATATGAAACACTAAACCCTAAACAGGTCTTCTCGAAGGACTTGTCCTCTCTGTGGCCGGCTACCAAGAATTCTCGTCGGGGCGGTGATTTTGTGGATTGTTTTTTCTGAGGGGTGAGTTTTGGGTTTAAAAGCCCAATACCCCTTTATTGAGGAATATACCGTAAACTATAAGGGGCTTCATTCTATGATTTGAGCTCTATTCCTTAATTAAGGGGTATTGGGCTCTCTGGGTTCTTCGAGCTGTTTACGGACCCCATCGGCGCCTTGCGTCCACAGGCGGGTTCCTCAGAAGGTCCATCCATATACACTACTATTATGGAATTAGGCCCTGAAACACGAGGACATCCTAATGCCGTCATAGTAGTGTATATGGACCCTCTGGGGTCTCTACTGAGTCTCTACAGAAACCTTAAAGGACCCCTTAAAGGGACCTTAAAGGAACCCTATACAGTAAACCCCATAAAGTTGGAATCCGAATTAAGGCCAAATAGTGCTGGGATTCCTTATACATGACTCTTAAGGGATGAGGCTATTGGGTCCCCCCAACTTTTGGGCCTCTACTGTAGATCCCTTTATAATGGGACCCTCTGGGGTCTCTACAGAAACCTTAAGGGACCCCTTAAAGGGACCTTAAAGGAACCCTATATAGATCCCCTTTAAATGGGACCCTCGGGGCTGTGCTCTGCGGGAGCATCGCAGAATGCCGGCAAAGCACAGCTCGACCTGAAGACCGCACTCGTGAACAGTGCATCTCACCCCAAGGCCCTATCCCAGAGAGCCCTATCCCCTTTAATTCGGGAATATACCTTAAAATCTTCTAGGACCCAGAGTAGGCCCTTATTCCCTTTTTTAGGGTTTAGGTTCCCTTATAACGACCAATCTCCTTTAATTGAGGAATATGTTAGAAGCTGCCCCCACCCTGTAATAGTGACTACAAGGGTTTTATAGGATTATATATTAGGGCCCTATTATATTCCTATTATATCACTATTACAGGGTGGGGGCAGCTTCTAAGGAATATCCCTTAAATTTTATTAGGGTTTCTATTACCATTTAAGGTATATTCCTCAGCTAATGGGTTTTGGAGGCTCTGGGCGCTAACAACAATGCCTGTTTCCAAGTCAACCCAGAGACTCCAATATCCCTTAATTCAGGAATATTCCTTAAACCATAGAAGTACGGATCCTACTGTACTTTAACGGCATCTTCCTTAATTAAGGCATAGTGGAGCCTTCGGGAATGAGGCTCTAAACCCTAAACCCGAAGCCCTAAACCCTAAACCCTACCCCCTAAACCCTATAGCCCTAAACCCTAAATCGCTGTGGAAGACGTGGAGTCGCTCGTGAAGCTCTTGCAGAGATCCCCGAGCCTGGCCGCGAGAGCCGGGATCTACAGGTACTGTTTTTCCAATTGATAAAGCCCCTCAGCTGGAGTTCCATGAGTCACGCAGGCCTCTCTATCACAAAGCTTCAGTAGATAATGCAACTCTCTGCCCCCTTCTTGGCTCGACACCTAATGACCTAATGGCTCTTGTTCATCAAGGGCGTGCAGAATTTAGTATTCTTGGCTTGTGGGGGCTTTTCGGGGTTAATGTAGGAACCTGATGAAGAAAGCCTGGGCCCATAATCCCAAAACTTAGAAGGATTCATATAAGGAACACTAATAAAGGCCCAATGTTTCTTATTCAGGTTCCTACATCAGCCGTCTCGAAGCCTCCGATTAGGATAGCCTGACATCCTGAGCACGACTAAGATGCCCAGTAGTACCCTTATTCCCTTTTTGTAGTCCTAGGGTCCTTATTAAGTTACCCAATACCAAAAAGGGAGCCCTTTATTCCTAGGTTACTGGGCATCCTAGACTCAGGAGGGGCTGGTGGGCCCCCTATGGGTGGGCCCCCCAAACTCTGAGACCCATGAGTGCTAAGGGTTGTTGGCAACCTCAGACCCGACCCCAGCCTAGACCCATGAGTGCTAAGGGATGTTGGCAACCTCAGACCCGACCCCAGCCTAGACCCATGAGTGCTAAGGGATGTTGGCAACCTCAGACCCGACCTAAGCCTGCAACTGAAGCCCTATGCCCAGGGACTCAACAGCTCGCGCCTCGTCGACCGCCGTTTTGCACAGCATTGATTGGTCCATCGTTGAATTGCTCGGCTAATTTCAGCACTTGCAGCAGCACTAGCACTGCATCAATGCTAACTGGCACAGCCACACATAGCCAGCACTGCGTGTTGTCAAGGGCCGAGGGCTTAAAGATTAGGCATTGTAGGACCTAGTAATTTAGTATTAGTAGTCGTAAGTACGTAACGTAACTGGTAAATGAGTTCGTAGGCCCAGTCAATAATTGAGTCTAGGGAGTCTCAGGTCAGGCATACACGCAGTCAGGGTGCGAGGCACACAGCCAAACGGACACGGGCCGCACTAACACTGGCCCTCAGTCTGTATCCATACAAAAGCAATTAAAGCACGGCTCATTTGACAATTGCTCACAAACTGCTGTGGGATCGCTTTCGGCCACCGCCACGACCCCGGCCGCGCCCAGCCCTGCCTCCTGGACTTCGCGGACCCATGGAGCCACTGGGAGCACCCGGACTGGCATCAGGAGTATCCTCGTCAGCCATTGAAGAGATGTGCTTCGGTGTGGAACGCTTTGGGGTGGTAGGCCTTGAAGTAGCTGCCGCAGCGGGAGGAGTAATGAATCCTGTGTTCTTGTCGAAGCTAGCCACGACATTCTCCATGTCTGCCCGCATCGGCCTTGCTTGTAGACATATGCTTACGCCGTTAACCAGGCCACCTTGAATACCTACTAATTAGCCTAATTACTTATTTATTTAAATATATTTAATGTATTTATTAAAGTCTAAGTTAAAATTAGGGAGGGTTTTCATTGAACTAGGGTTTTTACTGAAGGGTGAAGGGCCAGAAGAACCCGTAAAGATTCACCTTCATAGCGGCCTACAGCTCAAGTGACTAACTGTGTAACCTAACTTACATTACGGTACAGTACATTTCACATGTCTAATAATTTAAGCCCCCAATAAACAATTCAACACAAAGCTTAAAGCTCAGTGTCAGGACGGTTGATCTGAACTGAACTGCCTGCGTTAACTGCGGGGAAATGCGAATGCTGCTGAGCCCCTGGCTCCTTCTGCGAGCTGTCAAGGCTGTAGCTCTTGCGAACCGATTGCCAGCACCAGTCCACACATTCCTTCAAGGCCTCCAGCTCGGTCAGCCCACGGCGGACGCCGTTCCACTTCGCTGCGTGAGATTCTTGGCGTCCTTTGAGTTTGACTCCGAGAGGCAGAGTCATTCAGGGAAGGTTTAGGGCTGTTATGTAAGTAATATTGAAATTCTTTATTATTTATCATATTATCGGTACGAAATAACTAACAAAAGTTCCATCCCCATTAAAATAACGACGAAATCTGTTGTCGTTCCAACCAACATCCATTATTATTTATTACGGGTCTGTATAGTGTCAGTGTATATTACAGTACAGGACGACGACGACGGGCATAATAATAAGCCATGAAATCATTGATTGAATGATGAATGACAAACTAAAACTCCGTCGGTGAACGGCTGGGTGCCAGCCCTAGACACTAATGACGATGATGAGACCGGTCATCTAGTGACTGAAATAATTGACCTGGGAAGGAAACGGAAAGGTAATCATATGATTTATTGAGCCTCCGCTTCGGTCCTTAATTTAAATGGCAATGGTCAGAAATGGGAAAACTGCACGAGCCATATGCACTAGACTAGATTCAGAGGTCCGAGTCGGACTAGTTGCAGCGCTTGACTGGCTGCCTTGCTGCTCAGAACTTAACTTAAATCGGGCAGGTAGGGAGACGTCTGACCAGTGAGGTACGACAGGCAAACCTACGACAAATAATCAACCAATCAAGAGGCAGTGACGGGTTCATTCAGTTTTAGTTTGACCTGACCCCCGTAACTAAGACTAATCACTGACAGACCCCAGTAAACAAACAGAAACCAAAGAGCTTGTGTACATCACGACAAGAATCCAGAGTCGGTGTGGAGGAGGAAACATTGGTATCGGAGCTCCACCGGGTGCCGATTGAACCTGCAGGAAAAGCCGGCTCCGTAGGGGAGGAGCCGGCCAAGAACCGCCGGCGTCTGGTGTGCTGGACTCGCGTGAACTGCTCGCGTGTCGGTACGCTCCGCTCGAGCGGCCTTGAGCTTCTCCTCGTCTGCGGCAACAGCTGCTAGTTCAGTGAACTGCGGTTTGTCCTCCGGGTTCAAGCTTTGGAAAGCGGCAAGGATTTGGGCAGCATGATTGCTGCTCGTCCCCTGCCGCTGTGAGGATCTCCCCATGAGGAAGGCGGTCATACGAGCTCGTTCGTCCGGCTCAAGGGATTCACCAAAAAAAAACGTCAGCACACGGCTGACGTAGTCCTGCTTGATGAAGTTGCCGGATTTACCGGCTCCGCTGCCCTTTGGCCCCATTGGGATCTGGAAAGCCGCCAGCAAGGCCCTGAGGTTACTGACCGTGAGAAAAACCCCGTTGCGCAGGGCAGCCGGGATTGGCTGGAGGAGCGGGCCTGTCTGTTGGAGCACGATGCCGTAGCCCTGCAAGTGGCACGGCACTTGGAGAGGGTGCACAATCTTGATCGGGAAGCTCTGCCATTGAGAGTTCAACAGTGTGTCGTTGTGCAGCCAAGTCGGGGCGAGTCCGGCATCTGTATCCACGGTGAAGTAGGCCTCAGGCTCATGCAGTCTTACAATAGGTAGGGCTTGTATTGTATGAATTTCGGAGTGCACGCATTAATGCTAAGTCAGGTTTCCTATAGACTGTTTTATTGTAGCGAGTTTGGGTTTAAAACCACAGTAAAAAGAATTGGAATTATATTAATAATAACAGTTTACATAATATCAATATATTAATATATTCAGTGATATATGACGGAAAGTTGGCAAATACTACCAGTTTACAAATTAGTTTAGCTGTATTTCCAATAGTACTTAGTAACAATAATAACTTAAATTGTGGTGAATCATGTCACTGGTCATTGCCATTGCCGGGCTGCAGCTGAAGCCCCGTCCTGCGCGCATGTGTGCTGTCGCATGGGCACTCCCAGTGCTGCATGCTTTCGGAAGCCCATGGACAGGAACACCTTCCCGTCATGCTTTCCCTGACGGCTGATGAAAACGCCACCCTTCGTCAGGAAGACACCTCGTCAAGGCTAAATTTCAGCACACCCGACAGGTTACCATCTTGGATTGACAGGCCGACTGGGCTGGGGGTATTAAATTAGAGCAAATGTTATTGTAAGTAGTTTGTTATGTTAGTTTGGTCTTGGAGTAAGTAGAATGGTCAGCCATATTCTATAGGCTTCCACTTCCACCGGCCGCTGCAGTAGCTGTAGCCCATCGAAACGAAAAGCAAACCTCCGACAGTGGTTAGATTAGAGACTAGACGACTCTTTCTGAGTTCTGAATTCTTAGATAATAGGCTGTTAATATTTACTTAGTTAATATCATAATTAGTTAACTTAGATAAATTAGCATATTTGATTTAAAGCACTCGTCACTAAAAGACAGACACTGAATCTCAGAATGAGCCCTCACCTCGACCACAACTTGACAACAGCAGTCAGCGTAACGTATTTCCGGCCTGCCCAGGTGCAGGAAGCACGCTGGAAGCCATCTGCTGCAGATTCGGCGATCCAGCTCGTGGCAGCTGCAGCTGCTTGGTTGGAAGCTGTCCCAGCCTTCTTTGCACTGCTCAGTTTTACCTTAACCAAGGCTTTTCGCAGTTCCGCATCTAGGCCCTTGATTCCGGTAGTCTTGAAAGCTTTGCCGTAGACGCCCTTCAGTGCTGGGTTCATCACCGAAGAATTGAACTCTCGATGATCTTCCAGGGTTGTCCTCAGCCGGGGCCACTTCGTGCCCCGGTCCATGGTGGTGCAGTAAAAATACCTTGTCCACCTTAGCACAAACAATAGTAAGCCTAAAAACCGGTGCCGCAAACCGTAGTAACCGTGCATCAGCAATACAAAATAGCCTCAGGCCTCGGATCCCCGGCCCCCGCCGAAAGACGAAGAATACAACCTACATGTTTCAGACTGTCGTGTCAGACCAGCACCGTGAGATTAGTTAGTCGTAGAAGGTTGGGATAGGTTTTAGTAGGGTTGCTTATTTACGAATTTATTCTATTTAAATGCTGCATTACTCTTTAAGTCTTTGTAATTGTATGAATTTGGGGAACTAATTTAATTAATTTTGAATTTACATAATAGTAAGAAGTGTGACGTAGTCCGACAGGCTAATTTAATAGGCTCGAATTAATATACTGATAATGATAACTGATAGTCTCCCAGAATTCAATAAAATGTAGGTTCAAGCCACTTGTTCATGGCAACAGGAAGGTTGGCTGACCGTGACACGGAAACCAAATGCGCGAAGAGATCTTCCAAGTCCCATTTCGTTTGGGCCGGCCCTGCAAACAGACATCGTGCCTGTTCCTGCACCCGACGGTCAGTCGCTTTCCAATTCCCAGCTTCACACTCCATCATGGCCTCCCGTGCCACTTGAAGCCGATTCCAGCCAAGATCTTGCAAGATCTGGGTGAGGGCAGCCTTGACAGCTGGCGGCACCTTGGAGTCCGGGGTTACGGCCTGCTCAGCACGCAGCACAGCCGTCCAGACATCCTGTTGCCTGTCAAGCAAGCGCTGAGCCGTGCTAAACGGCCCATGATCCTGACTCAGCACCACTGCCAGGGCACCGGGTTGAAGCGTAGTAAACTGGATCTGAGACCAGCATCTCGCAGCGGACAGCTCAACAAGCAGTTTCCAAAACTTAGCCACCAGTTCGCACTCATCCAGGAACCACGGCTCTGTTGCCAAACAGTCGTCGTCCTCTAAGATGGCTGCAGCTGTAGCAGGAGTGATGTTGATGCGCTGGAGTGCCTGTGGCTCGTGGATGAGATGCAGGGTGTTCACAACCGTGCTGAACCAGCTGCCTTTGGCCCGGGAAGCCTGGAACTCGATTGTCAAAGCCTGGCATGATTCTGTTGACGACGACAGTGATGACTGACAGATGTGATGATGGGTATAAAATCTAAATCTGAAATAAGTAGACAGGAATGAATAGTATTATAAATACTGTAATTCATAGACAATAGCCATAGCTGTCATTATCATCGAATCTGCTACTGAGTTACTGGGCAGTAATAGTATTATTTTAGTGATTTCTTAATTATTAATTATCAACTTAATTTATTAAGACTCAGAGTCAAAGGCTAACATTACTTCAACAGTTGTATTATCGTTGCTGCCTGGCTCTTCTGATCTTCCAAAGACCGGCTGTAGGCGTTGCGGATGTGCTGGCAAGCTGTGGAAACCAGCAGCATATCCAGGCGTAGGTCACGGTCTTTGTAAAAGTGGGAAGCTAGCAGCATTGTATTGCTGAAGGACTGGCGAATCTGGTTCAGTTCATTCTTTGTTTGAGGCATGGGGGTTTTGGCCTTCTTCGGCAGCTTCCTTTTTCGAGAACCGGATGCTTCGGCCCCAGGCTCCTCTCCGTCTTCCTCAGCATCATCGTCATCCGCTGCTGCCTCTGCATCCCACGGCTGCTCATCATCAGGAGCCCGCGCTCCCTCGCCGTCATCGGCGCCAGCCTGCACAGGGGCCGGGGAGGGGGTTGGGTTTAGGGCATCTCTGGAGTAGTGACTAGTGAGTTTGGTCTCGGGACTAATTTAATTACCGCCTGTTCAGGGTAGCATTGCTTGTGTAATGACTTTAATGACTGTTCGATGATGATTATTACCGGTCAGTCTGACAGACAGAGTCAGAGATTCAGCTCCGGATTCAGTTCAGATCAGAAGTTCAAGTTATGTGGGGTGTGTTTGGGTTATTATTAATATTATAGGGTTTACTAAAGTATTTTAGGGTATTAATTAAGATTAGTTAAACCCAGTTAAACAGTTAAGGTTCAGAAGTAAGTAGGTAATTATTAAGTCGAGTCTAAGTTTAGGATAGGAGGCGCCAGGGTCGCTGAGGTCCGTTTAGACTAGGCATGGTATTCAAGTTAGTTAATTAATTAGGCTTAGAATTATGAAACAGTCTAGTCTAGTGACTTAGTCTTAGTGTGTTTCACAATGTCTAATTAATCTAGTCCAAGGACGGCAGGTCCGGTCAGTGGAGTCAGGTCAGGTGCCAGGCAGCCAGGCTTTGGCGTGATTTCACATGCCCGTGAGTCCGAGCGAGTCTGGGACGTGACAAATGTTGGGGTTTAGTTAGTGAGTAATGTGATTTATTGAATTGAAATTACGTTACATTGGGCCCGGGAGTCGGAGTCAGTGAATGAAGTTGCAATTCCTATAACATAGTAACCACCATCAATCATTAGGATGATTATTCAATGGTTAAATATAAATATAATTAATTAATCATCCTAATGATTGATGGTGGTTACTATGTTATATGAGCCACAGGTTACTGGTTTGACCAGCGGATCACGTAACTTGACTAAACTAGGCTAGAAGCCGATGTCTGATGTTATGAAATTGTTATAATGCCCCGCCCTGACTCTGTCTGACACGACAAAGGCGCCCGCTGCTTGAATGTTGGAACCCTCTAGTCCTTAAACTTCTCCTCAACCCTTGAAATTCATCCCCGAATTCCTGAAGCAAACCTGACTGCAAAGTAATTGCCTGCATAACGTCATAGCCAACCCTTACTAAGCCCTTCAGAATCAACGGATTATCTTCAATCCCAACTCGTCGTTAGTTAGTAACTATTAACTATAGTATTTGATATAATAATGCAAAAATACGAATTGTCAAGACTTAACTAACAATGTATGTCAATTCTAATAGTAGTTAGTAAGAACAACAACAACAACAGTTCATAATGATTAATTAACCACTTAGCCCAGCTAGCAGCAACATACATAAACTGGAACCCGGCTATAAAAAAAACTAACCCTGAGCTGGACCCTATTACCCCAGACACAGGAACCCAGGACTCGACTGTCCCCACCCCGGACCCAAGAACTTAAGACCAAATAAACCTGTGACCGACCCACGATTTTAAGCTGATGACGACGATAAGGTAGCTGCGATGGCCGGTGTCTGGGCCTGCTCCGGTTCGAGGAGAAGCGCATGGTCCAGGACGGTTGCTAGCAGGGTCCAGTTCTCGCAGAGAAAATCCAAGGCGTCCACCGCCCCAAACCAGGATTTGGCTTTCACCTTAGATTGGACCGGAGGTTGGGGGAATTACTGTCAGTCAATGACTCCAGCCGGCAGCTGCGATCCTAAATATAGCAGCCGAGGTCTGCATTATTAGTTATATCTCGACAAGACAATGGCATAATCAATAATGGCTCGAGAATATCTGCGACAGACCATTAGGGTAACCCGTCATACAGCAGTGCAAGTCAGCCAGACGATGCAGGGCACGAAAGGTGGGAGGTTCTTGAGGGCTGGCAGATTTGGAAGATCTGCAGGCTGCTGAGGCAGGTGTTCTGAGGATTCTGGGTCGTCCAGCTGCTGATCGTCCAGCATCTGCTCCAGCAGTGCATCGAAGTCTGCAGCAGACAACCTTGTTGCGAGGTGTTCGGCAGCCTCAATCAAAGTCCAAGAATTCTTAGCACCCCCGAATGGTCCGTGAGCACAGTTACAAAGAACTGCACTCAGCAGCAGCGTGTGTTGCAAGCCGCATCTGCGTATTCCGTTCCTCGTATCGTTCCACTGTGAGTGGCAGGCCTCCGGTTGTATGAACAACCGGAGGCCTAACTCATGCCCCAGCGTAAAAAGGGTCTTGAAAGGCAGCGCCTCTTCGTCTGCTACCTGGTCTGATTATTCTAGGATTCTAGGGCACAGCTTTTAAAACCCCCACTGTCTTGCAAGAATGGGCAGCTCGCAACTCACAGCCTGACCCTTACTACCTAGTCGCCTACAGCCACAGACTCAGACAGACAATCATACAGAATTGGACACTTTATAATTGTAAAACCAGAAGCCTCATAAATAAAAAATAATAATGCTTACTTAAGCCCCAGAATAATAGAATTGAGCTGACAGTGACAGAGTCGAGTCATGGTGCGATCGTCAGCAGTGGGCGGTCCCGAACGTCAGGAGGCTTCAGCAGATCCGGCGCTGGCGGAGGTGCAGCGGCTGCTGTCTGTGGCAGCAGTCTGTTGGCAGGCTTCCTGGGCTAGGATGAGATAGGGAGCATTGGTTTAATTCAACAGAACCCAAGAACTCCGGCGGATGGGCTTGTTGCCAACAGCTGCTTGATTCGAGACCACAACAACCGGTAGGTGAGTAATCGTCAGTCGTCCTGGCGCGCTAGAAGTAGATTAAACTAGAAGCATGGAATCCTGGACTTAGTTAGATTTTGGCAGGGTCTTACCCGGGTTTATTATTATTAGCATTCGGACATTCATCGGTGTAGTAAATAGTTACCTGTAGTCTCAGGGTCTAGACTCAGACAGTTAGTCAGATTTTGGCAGGGTCTTACTTGGGTTTAATAATAGCATTCGGACAGTCAGCAGTGTAGTAAATAAGTAGTTACTTTAGTGAATTATGAATCCGAAATGTACTAATTTAACTAAGCATTAGTCGTTCATATAATAAGTTTTCAGTGCCTGTCAGTGACTCATCAAGTGACTGACTGACTGGGTTTGGCTTAAGTTACTTGTGTCTATTAACAGTATTAGACTGTGTGCATAGCAGCCAATCATAATCAGTCAGACAGTCTGAATCGAGTCAGTCAGTTGGTTAGTTTGGAGTCACGACAGAATGATCGACTTTGTAATCTGGTGATAGAGTCAGTGCAATAATTAATACTGGGCAGATTGTTTTTGAGGGCTTCAAGGCTCGTGTGTGTTCTTGTTTGGATGGGTCTTTTCCTGTCTCTCCCTCCCTGTCTCTCTCTCTCTCTCTCTCTCTTTCTCTCTTTCTCTCTTTCTCTCTCTCGACTCTCACTCTCTGCTTACCACGCTGTGTCTCACAGGCGTGTGCTGCTCGGGTGCACACACATATGCCAACTTATTTTAGCCAGGTAGACCATTATTCTTTGCCGTCACCGGTCCAACAATAACCAGTAATAACCACTGCCAGTTGCTGTAGCTTTTCGCAAAGTATGTCGTCATCCGAAATCTGAAATTCTATCCTGAATTTCTTAGGGCAAAACAATTAAGTTAAGATTCAAGTCCAGCAGGGTCCGGCCCCACATCAGGTCCAGGTTGCCGTTCAAGGCATGTGCGAGCACCTGCAGTGGGGCACATTCTGACTGCTTAGTTGATTCAAGTCAATCTGGCTTCAACTTAGGACCTAAGGACCTAGGCCACCACTACTACAGTTTGGCTCGGGTGGGGTGTCCGAGTCCGGAGGCTTTTCAGGATAGCAAGCTTTCGACAAATTCGAGGGGAAACCCTTACTGTAAATGGCCACTAACTTACTAAACCTTTGATTCAGAATTATGAACTCAAGTAGCTTCTGAGATTCTGATCCAGTGGCAATATAATATATATAATACTAGCGCCATTGCCCCTAGCGTCCTACTATTATTAATTCGTAAAGTAACACGATAAGTAAGTAAGACAGTGAGCACAGGTCACCGTCTTCTTCGACGACGCTGCAGCGAGGCACTTGAATGATTGGTGAATTGAGTCTGATTTTTTGAACTAATTAATTATACACTAACTAATTAGTTCATATCATAAATCAAAACCCTAGCCCTAGTCCGGACAATTCAGACCCCAGCCTGCAGCACTCAGCATGGATAATTGTAGCTGCTACTACCGGAAAATGACCTACCGGATAATGAAGTTTAAGTACCCTGGGACCTGGGCTCAGACTGACTGTCTGTGACTGACTCAGCAGCTCTGACCGACCGTCCTGAAATAAAGTGACTGACTGACTCGGCCTAAATAATACGCCGCTTCCCTGCAGCCTGCTACTACTAAGGAGATGTAGGAATATGTTAATATCATAATTCAGACAGTAACTTAACAGGAGCCCCCAATGCTTGTACGACACCCTCTCAGCACCCGAGGTCACCATTCGCACCACAGCGACTCAGCCTCTGTTACTGTGAGTGCCTTTGTTACACCGAAGCCCTCAACTCAGTAACTCGTTGCCCCTCATCAACGACCTTGATAGCCAGCTCTGCCTGCTGCTGCCACATTACATGACTTTAAAAACTTTAAAATCGTGCAGCATAGACTCCAGCATGCCCTGAATGGTCTTCTTGTCTCGGGCAGGAATTTCAGCCGGCGGATCCAGTTCGCTGCGATCTCCGAGATTCCTTGGATCGGCAGTGACAGTGGGACGGTTCGGGTTATGTATTATTAGGTTAGTGTAATTATTTCAATTAATTGGCTTTACACAGTGATAATAAAGCCAATTAATTGAAATAATTACACTATTACATATCAATAATAATAACTGCCACTGCCATTTTGGTGCGAGGTCTTCGGGTCTTGTAACTTGTAGGGCACAGCACAGAATTCAGGAGTCCGGGAATCGTGAATAATCATATACATAAGAAACAGGTATAAGACTTAAGAGACTCATAATAGAAACCCATAATGAGCAAGTACACTCTCGGTTCCACCCCTGACTTCATGAACGAACTGCTTGGGCTTGTATCATATGAACGGGTTATGTTTGAGCTGCCAGATTGATTCAACTGCTAAGTTTCAAGCCTTTGGTAGGGGATTTAACACTGGCTGAGCTGCTGGCCCAGGGGCACTGCGTGAGTGAGTGCATTTCCGGCGCAGAGAGTTTCAGATGAGATTGAGATTACTACACGCTAGAAGTATGAGTGGCTCCTGAGCATTTAAGACATCATGCACAGCCAAGCTCCGGAACGCCGGCACCATCCGGCTCAGGTGATTCTGATGTAGGGTTTAATTTAAGCTTAGGGTTAGAGTCGAGTCGTTACGTTAGTAGTTAGTTAGTAAAGGTAGAGGACCTGGGCCCGGGGACCGGGGGATCTACTTTTTTTCCGTATAATAACAAAAGTTGGATTTCAATTTATAGGGTTTGGTTAGCAAGTAAGTAGTCTATCATCGGTTAGGTTTCTGGGTTTGCGGCCTTATAGGCTAGGGTAGGGAATAGATTAAATTAGGGCCTTAGTCTAGTTAGGGTATTAAATTAGTATTACTTTATTATCACTGTTATTATGATTGTTATTATTAGGGTTTACTGGGCTGGGGTCGAGTTCGGGCTCGGCATTCTAACCAGTCGTAACCGCAGGAATTGCTTATGTGGTTTCATTTGAAATTGGGTGGCTAATGATTTGGCCGAATCAATTAATTATGGGGCCTGTCAGTACTCATGTCATACAGTACTTGGCTGTCAAGAATTCACTCAGACAGACTCTGACTCACATCGAACTGGCAGTGATTCAGAACAGTGAACAGTCATTCGCGCCTTAAGTTACTTGCAGGTGACCCCAGTCCCCAGTCGACCCAGAGGCGTAGTAAGTAAACTAATAATGACTTAATTCGGTAACTTGAAGTTCAGGATTTTCAGCGACTAGGCTAGCATGCCTTCAAACTCATTGACTCGCCTTACTGTGAGTCATTGGTCTGGTACAACAAAACACATTGATAACAAATAGTTAGTGGTCGGACAGGGTGCCCTAACTAACTAACCTACATTGGTCATACTTCATGCCATGCGACCATAATTAGAATACTTTAACAATTAACATACTAAAAACCAAACTAACTACCTATCTAACTGCAGCTTACTGTCAGTCATTCAAGAACGACTAAGTTTCAAACTAAGCGGGAATTTAAAACGATCTCGGGACAGATACGGTTACAAACAGAATCTAAGGCACGGCTGCGCGAGCTCGGTGGCCAGGGCTGCGATGGCAGGAACCGCCTCGGCTGCCGAAGGTCACGGGGCTAGGCTACTGTATTCATAGGAGGCAGGTAGAGCGTGTCTGCGTTCGTGGTTGTTTTGCTGTCGGGCAAGGCCTTACAGAACTACATTGCTCAATCAAGTCGTTCTGTTGCTTGGGGACGAGTACAATCAGTGAACCGAACCCAGCCCCTTCAATCATTCTGCGAACCCCAGAAGCTGAAGTCACAGGTGTCCACACACGTCAATGTCTGCACACAGCATCGGCTCACCATGCGATTTTCACAGCGTCTCAAGCTGTTGATAGCTGACACAAACACGGCCGGTCGAGCAGGAGACACTAGGCACTCTAGCCTGCAGGATACACGGTCGTGTCAAGGCGCTATGTACTAAGGAGATGGCAAGATTGGCTTCGCAATATGAGTACTGCAAAACCCGGGCAGCAGCCAAGAAAGAGCAGTTAAGAAGCATAGCTACACATTGTCTTAAACAACTTGCACCGGACATTATCGTCATTGAAAAGCCACTGACTGCCTGTCAGAGCAGCACAGGCACACGACTCCCATAAATAATGGGCTGAAGTTGTCCTCATGACAACAGTTAACAGCAACAGGCAAAGGCCGCCCCGAACAGGTCCGGTCCGTGGACACTGCCAGGCTACACAGGTTACTTAAGGCATTAGGGGTGCTGTAAGCATTTTATTTAACTGCATTGGTCATCCCGATGGAGATCGGGCTTGCTTTTGAGGAGTTCTGGGATTTGATTTGATCTTATAATAAAGATATGATAAGGTCTCAGGTTTGAGTCGGGTACTATTCTCATTCTCAGGTGCGATCTCTAGTCAGCCAAGTGCTCCTACATCGTATATGGAAGCCGTGCAGGAACAAACCCCAGTACCTACTCATTTTAGGATAAAAGGGATGCTTGTGTTACTGTTCGCACCAACTATTCAAGCCCATCAAGCTACGCATGGATCCTAGCCTGATTAGCCTTGTCAAACAACATGCACTGCACAGTTCCTGGGCTGGGGAGCAGAACTGAACAAAGTGGGTAGACAGCAACACGGTATCATGGTTCTGAAACCCACGGTGGCCCTGGACCTTTGGGGGCTTTGATAACAAATCTATATTTCATTAGGCTCCCAGGGGTATCAGACTGTCAGATTAGTTATGAGTTCAGTTACCATTCTGGTTTAAGCTCAAAGGATCCTGGTGTGACGAATCCGAAATGTCAGTCCCTCAACTGTTAGGGTTAGGGCTAAGGATGGGCTAAGGTTTGCTTTACTTACTTGTTGTTAGTAACGTTTAAGTATAAGTCAATAATCAGTTAACGTGACGTAATCCAACAACTAATTGTGAGTTGCATTCAGAACACTCGGATTTAATGTAAAAATAATTAATTTCGTTTAGGGTGTTATCCTGATCCATCAGGCACAGCAGCGTCCTTGCAGACTCAGACCGGAAACACGTCTTAAACCAAAGACGTTGAATTCTAAGCCAAGCCCGACTACAGGCGCAGCAGAACTGTAGCACCCCACTCAGATGGCACCTGAGGCATTGCCGTCTACAGACGCAGTGGACTCTGTGGCGGTGATGCTGATCTTGAAGGACAGGGTCGTTTGCTGCTTGCCGTCACTATGCTTGGCTTTAGCTTTGGCCTTTGGTCTGGCACGGCTGTCACTCTGACTCTTAGCCTTAGCAGTAGCCGCCTTGGCCTTGGCCTTTGCTTTGGCCTGGGGCCTGGACGTCTTTGCATTGGGCTTGCTGGTTGCAGCTGCTGAGTCTGCTGGTGGGGTCTCGCGGGTGGAGTCTCTGTCGACCTGGCACTGGTTCGAGTCGAGAACAGGATCGGGCTGGGCATCAGGGATTGGAGGGAAGCTTCGGATCGGACTGGAGTCACTACCGTCAGATGTCATAAGTATCATTCCCCCGGAACCCTCGGCTTTGCGTGCAGCGATGGCCCTCGTCACCACCTCACGAATCACACGGTCGCCGGATCGGTCATACATGGGCGGGCTCTTCACTGATGATGTTGGCGTGGCCCCAGTGGCACCGGCCGGGGTGTCTTGAGTAACACTCAGGAGGTCCGGACTGTGCGTTCTGTCACCGTCCCAGCCCAAGCACCGGCGCTTGGCAGGGGTTTCGGTGTGAGTCTGGGCTTCGGGTTGACCCCGGGGCGGGGACACCTGGTCTTTGTCACCCTGCAACGCAACCAGCATCTCCAGCATCTCACTGTCACCCTGTGCCGACATAGCCTGAGACGATTCTTGACCACTCACACGATTTCAACAAGTTGGATGCAGGATCTGAGCCGCTGAGGCAACGGTGCGAGAGGGGCACGGTGGCCCGGGCAGCATCGACGAATCGAAGGGTTCAAATAGGGGTTTAGGGTTTACTACACTTAATAACAATAATAATATAATAATAATAATTAATAATACTAGGAACAACAAACATTCTGTTAATATTTGGTCGGTCTCGTCGACTGATATTTATTTATTCTTACTTACTTGTATTAAATGTCTTAGTCAGGATTTATCGTTGAAAATAATTTAATTGGAGAATCTCTGACGCCCCTAAACCCTGAACTAAAAAACGCTAAGTGTCGTTGACTAGTTAAATTGACAGACAATGACTGTCAACAATCATTCATCATCAGTCAGACAGACAATCCGTCAGGCATTAAATTGAATTGATCCAATCCAATCATCATATGTCATCAGACCATCATCAACCTATTAACCTGATCCTGACCTGATTGACTCATTGTCATTGAGTCATTGACCATGGGTGGAGGGTCTGCCACTACTTTGCACTTATTATTAGCATAGTAAGTAATTAGTTGACCTACAGCTACAGTGAACTCCAAAGAGTTGGAACATCCTTTCCAAAGGTACGCTTCTAAATACTTCTCGGAATCCCAGGATGATAAATTATAAGCACCCCGAAATTAATGCATGTTCTGACTGTATGGAGTTTACTGAAATAAGGCGAGATCCTCTAGCTCTAGTCTATGATTACGGTTGAATTACGGTTGGCTATCTTAGAACTGATCATTCTGTCATATATAATATTTAATAATATTATTTAATAATAATATTATTAAATATTATATATGACAGAATGATCAGTTCTAATTAATCATAAACCAGGCTTTCAGACAGGGACTGCTTTGGGCAAAGGCCTTGGTCTTGCTTGCCTAGTGGCGATGAATACTATACATGGCAAAAACCTCCAACACCAATGGGTATTATATGCCAGCTAGACCTTGCCAGGCAATGGCGATATTACAGGCTTGTGTTTGCGAGACAACACTACCAACGGAGCCGAGTTATTAGTTGTGGGGGATCAGGTATCTAAGCTAGGACCGCCCTAGTTTCAGCATCCCAATGAATTCCGGTTTCGGGAGCTTGGGTTTAGGGTACATGGATAATTGTCATTGTAATTTAAAAATTTAGTCTTAGCCATTATCATTAGTACTTAGTAAGGGCCTAACAGATTAGCGCTACTCTTTAGTGCAGAATGCCTGGGATCCCGGTTGAGGAAAGCACCAGATTGACAATTGAGTCCAGTCGGTCTATTACGATCGCCCAAGCAACAACAACAACCACAACGACCCCTAAGCCTAGGGAATAAGAACCCCAGAACAGTTTCGCTCCGGTCCTTGGCTCTGGCTGCCTGGTGGAGTCTGAAGTCTGGGCAGTCTGAGTCTGGAGTGACTGCTTCGAACTTGATAATACAAAGAGCTCTCAGAGAGTGGCAGTACATGCTGTCGGCAGCAGCCACGACGTCATTACACTTATACTTACGATAAGCTGCATTGCATCGTATGTCACAATATTATGTCTCTGAGTTGGGGACGGGGACATTTTAGCAGTTTGGTTTTAAGCAGCATTGGCCCATTGGCTAGGACTATGATTCATTATGATCTGCTTCAAAAGAGGATCTCACATAATCATAAAGCTGCTAGTAAGTACTCCCTGTGATTCTGTAGGTTTTCCTATAGATTCAGTACTAGCTCAGTGACTCAGGTTCACGATTCTCGCTGCCATGCTGCCTGAGGGCGGCATGATTCACTGATGATCTGATGGCTTGAACTCGAGGGGATAAAAAAGCTTCGTATTCATAGCTTCTGGATTCAGAATGACGAATTAAGTTGAATCGAGTCTGATCTGAGTCCACTGATCGATGTCAGAGGACACCAGGAGATCTAAAGCCTTGCTCGAGCCTGAGCTCAGCCTAGACAGCCTCGACTAAGAATGCTAAGGTGCGGGCTTAGGGTTTAAGGATTGAGTATTATTAATTAATTAAATTACAGAATGATTCATGATGATAACAATGTAACAATGGATGGACTTAGTCAGTGACGGGATGACGAGGGTTTATGTACTAATTGGATTGGGGGCGGCTACGACGATTTGAACTGTGTCATAGTCAAATATACTATCAAACCGGAGGCCAGCAGCATGACCTGCGAGGCAGGCAGCCATATCATCTCGAAACTCCGATGCTCAGTGGCCTCAGTCTACTGTCAGATTATACTGTCACAGCAACCGTACCCACTGGCTCACTGATCTGATCACTGGGCGGACTGGCTGGCACCGGCTTTGCACCGTGCAACTAATAATACAGATGAGCGTGCCACTGCGACTAGTATTAACGTTATATGATTACCGAACCACACTACATTCCCGGAACAGAGCTCCGAATCTACTTTGCCACTGAACTGTAAGACTACTCTAATAACAGCTACGACCCGGCAACGGTGCAATGGCCCACGGCGCCCAAAAACCCAGATCTCATACTTTCCTGTAGCGATGGGAAAACTGTTCAGCTCCGAGAAAGAGAGTGCATCCTATACATACCGCACCAATGTGGACGAGGTAGTAGAGTAGACAAAGTACGTCCTGACCAGGCCCGTGAAATAATTAATCACTCCCGGAGCCGCATTAGAACCCAAGGCTGAGCATTGATAGTCACTTCCGTCCGTGAGATAGATGGCACAATCAGCCGGCCCGCTGACGTTCCATTTGGCCGGACCCAGCACTCACCTGCTGGGACGGGAGACGGGTCGGGTGGGAGGGCAGGGGAGTCGTTTAGAGGGGGTTAGAGAGGCTTAGAGAAAGGGGGGCCCACCCCCAAAATGCTGCGTTTTCCATAGGAAATGGGGCGGGCCCCCCATTCTCAAACGGATCACCCCCGAGCCCTCCAACCCCCCCCCAAAACCCCCACCAACACCCCTCAAAGCGACCTCACTGCCCCAGGCCAGCCCCCCCAACACACCCCAACCCCCACCCCAACCCCAACAACCCGGAACCTCAAGACCGCTCAATGACTGAACCCGGCAGCTGACTCATGCCCTACCTTTCTGCAACGCTTCACCGAAATTGAAGCCCTATCCTCCCGGCCTCGTCGTGCGCGCCTTCTTGGCAGCCGGCTTGAACATATCTGAAGGCAGGATTCCCGGGGTGGCACGTCTAAAGCTTGGCTTAACAAACTATTTTAAGGGCCCGAAGCTGAAGTGGCGAAACCATACCTTGTCACACCAACACCTCAAGTGGAATCCTCGAAATCGGCTTAACGGTTCGGTTTCAACTGCATACAAGTATGCCTTCCGGAAAAGACCTACTTACTTAGTAACTTACTTACTTACTTACTGAATTATACTTACTTACTTACTTATCTTATGTCACGTTCTTGTAGACTTAACTGAACTAACTACCAGCATTCAGTATTCACTAAGAATTCATTCTAAGGCATGGTCTACCAGACATGACATAGACCTACTAGTTGCAGCTTGTGCTCATATGCCAATGATTTTGCTGCTGCTGCTGCTGCTGCTACTTCACTAGTACTACGGTTGATGATATAAATCCTGCATTACCTTAAGGGCCCTAAACTATGGGAATTATGGTATATTCCTTATTTAGGGTAATGCAGGATTTATATCATCAACAGTACTGGACTACTGCTCAGGGCCGTGCCTGCCACTGGCGGCTTTGACTTACCGCCACCTGGCTGAGACTCCTTGTCCTGTGCATCGTTCTCCTCTGGCTTCTTGCTCGCATCGGCCTTCTCTTCAGCCATGGGCCCGGGACTCTCGGCCGGCGCTGCCACGGTGAGGGGGTTCGTAAGTGCATCCTCAGGCTTGGAGGCTTGCGGTGTTGAGAGGGCAGTCGGCATCTCTGCCTCCTTTTGCTGATCATTCTCCTTGGTTTTGTCAATGGCCTCCTTCTCCTTCTCCTTCTCCTTCTCCGCTTCCTTAGCCTTCGCTGCAGCCTGCATCTCCTCAAACAAGGCCTTAGCCCGCTGGTTCACAAGCTCTTGGATCCTCTTCTCCTCCACCTTCTGAGCCTCTGACCTGCGCATCGCCTCCGCCTCATCCTTGAGCCTCTGCTCCTCTGCCCGCTGCTTGGCTGCAGCCTCATCCAGGAGCCTTTTCTCCTCCTCCTGCTGCTTGGCCCTGGCCTCTGCTTCCTTGCGTGCTGTTTCCTCAGCCTCGGCTTTGAGCCTGGTCTCATCTCGCTTTCGCTGGAGTTCCTCCATCTTCTCCTGTGCTGCCTTTAAGGCCGCTTCCTGTTGCTTAAGCTCGGCCTCTAACGGATCAGCAGGAGCTTGAAGGGCTTTGATAGCAGCATCGTGCTTGGCCTTCTCCTCCTCCTCCTTCTGCTTGGCCTTCTCAGCCTTCGCAGCCTCGATGTCTTTACCTTGCTATGGGGGCAATGATTTAATTCTACTTACTCATTGCACGGATATACTAGCAGCATTATTATGACTACGATGTTTTCCATACTTCAGTTTAAATAAAGTCTTTCAGAGACGACGAGTAAAACAGTGTCTCGCAGTCCCGGATATGCCATCTGATTAGTATTAACTTACTTCTATCAATACATGATTAAACTGATCAATTTCAATGAACTTACTACTGAAGAATAATATTTAAAGCCGCATCCTACAGACCCTGGACTGGAAAGGCTCACTACGTCGATGGTGAAAAGCAAACAAGCAACCCTGCCATCGAGAAACTCAGGCGGGGCCCCCGCTAGTTAGTTAGCCACCGAATGAACTAATCACTTCATTAATTAGTCTGAAACACCCAACTATCCAAACCTAGACTAACCTCATGGAACGTCAACCCTTAGGACCCCAGGTATTTGGGCCATCATGTGCAATTGCAAAAGAGGTGCGGGTGGCGAACCGGGGGGCCCGTCCCTGTGCAACTTCCTGATGGAAGCCCTTCCCACATTCATTGCACGTTGCATGCTCTGCGTTCGAGAGGTGGCAGTGGCACACCGGGATCATTGCATCCATCGGGTCGTTCGGGCTGGTTGTCGCCGGAGTCGCAAGTCCTGACCGACAAACACTGACTCAATGCAGACTGAACCGTGTAACCGTCGAATTTAGTCTTCCCAGTGATTGCTGTTTATTGATGATTAAGCCAAGTAAGTAAGTAAGTAAGTAGGCTCAGCAGGATCAGCGATCATGGTACTCAACACTGCCTCCGATAGGTATTAGGTGTCGCTATCTTTACTTAGGCTCTGTCCTGCTGCAGGCACCACACTTTTCACAGGAGCTGTGGGTGTTTCAGCAGTCGTAGTAGTCGCGACTGGGACTGAGGGGTCAGCTGTACCCGCATCCTCATCCACCGTGTCCAGGCTCAGGTTCACAGGCCTGCTGATCTGCTCCGCGGAGCTAACCGCATCCTGATAGTAGGCCATGGCCCACTTCTTGATCTTACCCGTTGACTCGGTCACGTACGGGATTCCGGCCTTGTTGTACTTCAGTTCCCAGCCATTGCTGCCTTGGGGAACCTTCCCCAAATCGCGGACGACGCCCCTGCACTCCAAAAGGCCGCCGCCGTCGCCTTGTTACTGATGGCTTTCGTTGTTATTATTATTATTACTATTGTTATTATTATTTTATTATTTTAATATTATTATTATCATTATTATTAGTACCAAGGTTCAAACAACACTAATTAAATTGTGTATATTTCAATCAGAATTCATCAATCAATTAAACCACTAAACCTGGGCGTGCAAGCACGGGTTATGATGGGTCCCTCGACACTGGCTGTCTGTCCCTAGTATTACTTGTTAGACTGAAGTATAGTTAGTTGCCACTACTGCATCATCAGGTCGGATTAGCCATTGACAGTGCAGTAGGAACTAATAATAATAACAATAATAATAATAATCATAATTACTAGTAGTAATATGCCACAGTCACAGATGACATAAACCGAAAACCACGCTCGTGGGACGATGCTCACTTATGGAAGACTACTCCGTCAGACTCGGCAACTGTTTTGTTCGTCAGAACTCTAAGAAGGGGTGACTACTTGAAACTACAGACGCAAAGGACGGGGCCGGACAGCCAGGCTACTTACTTACCAGGCCCAGGTTAAGCAGATGAATCAATGGGTGCTGGCCACTCAGGTCTCAGGTCTCAGGAGACACAGCTTGCAACAGCAGTGACACTCTTAAACTCATTCAGAATTCTGAATGGGATCACTAAGTCACTGTATTCACTCACTTATTATTAATATAGTATTATATATATATATATAATGGAATACTTTAGCTGAACTGACTCACTGACTGTTCTGAACCGCTGGCCTGACTGACTCACTGACTTTAAGTTAAACCGCCCTCGCTTCAGTCGGTGCACGGTGACTCAGGGCCTCAGCCACTACAGTAGAATAATTGATTAGACTAACCTACGGAAGTAGTTACATTAATCAATGAATTCAAACCCTAGACTGTAAAGTTAACTGAACTAGCTAGACATAGACTCTGACTTAGGCTGTAGTTAAATATAGCCTTACTAAACAGCATAGTAATCCATTCATTACATTCTGAAATCTGAATTATTAATTGAAGTGAATCTGCCGGTGTTAACTTCAATAAATTTCAGTAAAAGCCCGTCGGACTGTGGCCCCTTCAGAAAGCATGACTAGACGAGTGACTCAGGGTCAGGACTTTGAAGACCTGGTTCTTGGACAACTCTATCTCCACTTTGCGAACCAAGTCGATCGGACTGCAGCTGCCCATCGGGGACCCAAGTCTCTCATACTCCTCTTTCAGGGCCGTGCCCTGATCCGCCTTGTTAAACCTGGGCAGGTGGCTAAACTTATGATAATACAACAGGAGTCGTGACTAGGTAACCCCTTGATTCGTTGTAAGTGCAACACACGACTCTACTTACTGATCTCTGTAGCCTGGTAGCGTGTCGAGGGCCACGTTCGGGCTTTTTCGGAACATTCCGAAGAAAATGGCACGGATCGTCTTGGAATCGAATGTGTTCAGCAAGGAGACAGTACACTTCTTGGGCTCGCAAAGGTGAATGAAGTCTTTGATGTGATTGTCCTAGCTCCAACACCGGACTGCATTGGAAATCAGGCTCGAGTGCTTTAGTTGCGCTGTTGGGATCGTCGTGATTATACTAGTGTCTTATTATTGAAGTAACATATAACAATAATTAGAATAAGAATGGGAATCCACGGCCTCCTGAACTGCTTGATATTGTTGACAAATTTACTGTTTGAAAGTTTGGTCATATGTTATTCTTCTTATGAACTATAATTGATCAATTACTAAAACCAAAGACCTGAACTGACTAATAGACTAAACCCTAAGCCAGACTTCTATTTGCAAATTCAATTCAAGGAGGCCCGGGCGCGGGTAGTCTCTCTTAAGTAAAGGTTAATTGCTGATTTAAATTGTTCTGTTATGAACTATTATTATACTTTTTGCCACATAACTTACTAGGCACTCGTCTCTTTAAAGTTCTAGGGTCTTCAGAGCTGAACTGAGGCTTGTCAATAAATACGGGTTCAATCTGACAAGGGTTAATTCAATTAATCCAAAATCAGATCAGGCCTTTGAAGGAACTTCGCAGTTATAGCCTAGCTTCAGACAAAAGAAATGCTTCGGTGACTCGGGGTCTTCAATGTTAAGACTTTGTGGGTTCTATTCATGACGTTAAAATAACATTTCGGATTATTGGCACGTCCTAATAATAAGGCATACGTAAGCCCTTATGTGTCCTTCCCAGAATTTGATGCTAGGCTGCAAAAGCTAGAACTAGAGCTTACGATGACGATAGTTTCGGGTTTAATCATAGTAGTGCAGCCATGTATCCGGAACCTTGCGCCAGCAAGTGAAACTTGTGCTGAGTGTGGTGACTTCGTTCTTCTTGGCGCGGGGTCTCGTCTTACCGTCGGACGCTGGCCCTGGCTTCCTCCCCGCCGCCCTCTTACCACACGCAGACAGGTCTTTGGCATCGGCCTCGTCTGTGAAATCTGTAGAGAGAATGCTCTCCCCATGATCCCCCAGCGGTTCGAGAAAGGCACAGGCCATAGGCATTGGGTTCCACACCCTCAGATCAGGGACACTGACGGAGCGAAGCTCGGATCACTCGGATCAGCCTAATTTGAGTGACAATTGCAAGTCAGTCGTCGGTGTAAGTATCCGAAGCATGACAGATGGCACGGAGAGATTGAAGTGCGAGACAACTGTAACACGACAGCGACGGCACAGCAGCCTGCCTGCAGCATTGCAGACACTCGTATAAACTCGTGATTTTCACGTCCCTGCGAACTTCTGAATCCGAACACTGAAGGACGATAAAAGTAGCTGATTCATACCTGGGCCATCGGCACGGCACTGCACTGCACATCAATGTCAATCACATTGGCAATCTCACTCAAGTCTGAGTCTGAGTCTTGCATTGCATAAAGCATAGGCATAAGTACTCCACTTACTTATCATGGTTATTATCTGAGCAACCACTTAATACTTAGGTAAAGTTACTATGACTTATGATACTGTAATAATAATAATTAATAACTAGCTAACGACCCTAATCCAACAACAAACTGAGCGAGACTAACTGAGCTTGACAGAGTCTGAGTGACTCAGCCAGCAGCAGCTATTAATCAAACAGAGCAGTCATGGAGTCGAGTTGGCTGTTTCTGGCAGGGACTGTCCCTCCTGGGTTGTTGTGACGAATGCCTCAGGAACAGAACAGGAATCAGGATGTGACTGCCTTTCGTGGAATGAAAGTAGATACAATTGACAATGACTGTGACCGGGACTTCTGAGCCCTAGTTAGTCTAGCATATGGAGCTCTAATGAACTTACTCGTCACGGACTGGCCCAGGAGTCTACCAGAACGCAGCCAAGCACTCTTCACTCAAATCATCGAGCCACAGTTACCGGTCTTCACATTCATAACGAGAATACTTGAAGGATAATAATTGAAACTCCATTCCGAACTCTCCTCCGAATCAGCTAACTAATATTCGAAAGCTACGTCCCAGCCCTAAGCTACTATAATACTATAGTCACACCGGTTCCCTCTGGTGGCTGGCAGGTGACACACAGCAGCTGACGGTCTGTCTGTCTGACTGACAATGGCCAAAAAGACGATTTTACTAATAACTTGCTCCGGAAGAATAACAGCACTTAGACCTAAGTTGATTTTCAGTGAGCTTACCAAACTTTCAAACTGACTCATGGCACTGTCAGCCGCTTGAATCACATGACCCGTTCGGGCCAAAACATGACAGTGCCACAAGTTGCATTATGGCACAGGTGCTGAAATGCATCCCGTTCCCGCAAAGATCTGATGCTCGTTGGATGTCTGTCGCACCCAAAAGAGGGACCTGCATGGCGTTGGCCACCTCGGTCGTGCATGGGAACCCCATGCTACAAAGCCTTTCTTTGCTGGTCAACCAGCGCTTGTGGCTTGGTAGCCAATACAGCGCTGTACGAGCATTCACCCGGTAGGTTGGTATTTTGTTGCTTGCAGCCGACCAGGTACAAAACTGCGCCGAATCTCCTAGGAAGTACACTAGGTTCTCATTCGCACAGGGAAAAGCATTGTACTTCTGCATGTACTTCGCGTCCAACTCCTGCCTGCAAGCTTCTTCTCTCTGGTTGAGGAGGTACCGCAGGTCCTTCTGGTTGTGCCGGTAGGGCACCCCAAGGTGGAGGGCACGAACGGAAGCTTCAAGCGCGATCTCATTGCTCGATGCAACCAAAAAGTCTGGCACCCCTGCTGCCACATGTTTTTGAAAGGCGTCTGTCAACTTGTTTTGCAGCAAGTAGGGGTCGTGCAGACAGGTGGCATGTCGTCGGTGTGACCCGATCACCCATGTACGGTACCTGGAAAGACCGCTGAATCCAACATTGGCCGGCTCCGAGTACAGCTGGTAAAAGTCGTAGTCGGGGTGGGTGTCATCCAGCATGCCCATATCCAGGTCCTGAGGCTCGGGTGTTAGACTCGTATAATTTTCACATGACCGGGTCTGGGCCACCGGGTCTGAGGGGTAACTGTCACAAACCACAGTTTCTTTGTTTTTTACACCATGGACATTTTTGTGATGTCAGAGCGAATTTAGTTGAAACCCGAATCTAGTTTCACTCGTCTGACTAATTAACCGACTAATGATGACTAGTCGTGAAGGCGACTCGAATAAGACAGACATAGAACTAATTACAGCACACAGACACTCCGACTCCTGACCTGTTGCTCCAATGTTTAAACAATTAATTTGTTAATCAATTTATTTATGACTTATGAACTGTCACTGACAAGCCACTGCTACTTGCTTATCGAATGATGAGTCGACGACAGTACTCAAACCCATATTTATTAATTATAGTCAGATTTATTTATCAACGACAATAATAATTAATGAAGGGATAAACTACTTACGGTTACTTTTAACTAGAGTATTTATTTTATTAGTCTCTACCCGTTTATTTAAAGCTTTAAGTCTTTGTCCTTATCACTTGCCGTGCCTGACTGGGGCCTGCCTGACTCACACGTGAAGCAAGCTGAGTGACTGACGACTGTGTGCGAACTGCATGCTTACCGATATTGCCCCAGATCCTTGCTGCAACTAATTTAACTAACTAGTATTATAGACCCCGGCCTCAGTCAGTGTTATAATATAATAATCTCCTGTAGGCATAACATGACATAAGCCGTCCGGGCTTCAGCTGACCCACCACCCGGCTAACGTGATCCTGAACCGAATCCTGACTGAGACTGGACTCATAAGTCATACAAGCGGTTGCACTTGAAACAAGACTCTGTGTTCGATGTTCGGCCTTGTCATTTGTCCTTCTCATTACAAATGGCCTTGACTAAGAAGGTATTAACCCGCTTACAGTAGCCTTGGACTTAGCTTAAGACTACGTCATAGTCAAGTAAAGAATCAAAATGAACTCTCTGATATTGGCCGTAGTAGTACTTATTAACCATTGTGCAGTTCAAGTACAGACTGATGGTAGGCACATGTGACAATGATGTGCTTGCACACTGTTATATACTGTGATGATAATAATAGTATTTATAAGATTTTGCCGGAAGCCAACTTTCAACTAAACCTGTTACCAGCCCATTAGATTTCCGATCAAGCTTCCTTGGTGCATTCAACCAGGATAAGGGGAGTCTCATTGGCAGTCACCCAGCGTCCATGGGCAATGTAAACACTGTTCGTCGGTCCAGCTCTCTTAAGCCGCTTGCCACAGGCAGACATGTCAGGGCACGGTAATCCGGACACGTCGAAGACTGGCCTCTTCATAATGCCGCAGTCGCAGCCATGCCGGAGGCACTTCGAGTTGGTGGCCAACTCAGCTTGCCAGCCAGCTTGCAGCTTGCCGGAATAGAACGGCGCATTCTGCCAGTCGCCTTTTAACACATGGGTGGCGTCCCCAAAGAGGCACGGATCTGATTGTCTCCCACACACCTTCGCAGACCAGTGAACAGCCTCCTGAAGTAGCTGATGGCACGCAGGGTTGTACTCCTGAGGTCAGTGATGGTTTGATTTCTCCTAGCCTACTTACTTAGACTACCTACGTCGGATACAAATAAACCATGACTGCTGACTTAAACTAACTAAATAAATACTTAGCATTTTCTAATTCATGTGACGTTCTTGAAACAACCGCTCCTGTTGGACTATTCTTCTGGAAGGGTTTAAGTCTTAAGTCGTCAACCATACACATACTGTGAAAGTATATACTCTTACACGCCCTCGATTCATGATCATTGTTTTGTTTGCGACAAAGGAACCCACATGGCCACCGTCGGTATGTGCACATGAAAGGAAAGCTTCTCAGACTGGTTAAGGTCGCGTTCTAGAACTGCCCGACTCAACTCTGCAGTGCCACAGCCACTGCAGAAGCTGCTCGCCGAGCCGGCGTGACGCAACCAGGAGTCCTTGCTTTGCGAGACACGTTTGACTGACTGACTGACTGTCTGCACTGACTGAGCGAACTTATTTTCAATATTGATCATAATCATAGGCCAATACTAATAGTTGATTAATGATTTTTTGCTACTGTCTGCACTGAACTTCCTGGCTAATATAACGTTATTAAGTGATTATGTCATTCCTTTCATTCTAATATTTGTTTGTCATGCTTGAATGAATGATATTGTATATTACATGCCTTCAGGAAAATTTTAGAAATGAGCCTGAGAGCTGGTTCAATTCATTACTAAGTTACTACAGGGGTTCTGTCCATGCCCGACAATGTCTCTGATTCTCTCACACCACTAGCTCGACTCGAACGGGAATGGTATTGGTCTGGATAGCTAAGACGAATAACTTAAGCTGTGAGGTTGAGGTGGTTAGTGGCTAAGCTTATTTAGTTTAGGGCTAGAGACTCACTGACTGTGACGAGTCAGTCAGTGCCTGACACTAATGTTTAATGATGAGCTACCACAGCCTGAATGTCATATTGTTATACAATTTAGGAAGAACCTAATGAGCTCAGTGACAAGTCTGTTTATTTCAATGATTCTGAAATCTGAATTCAGTTCAGAATTGGATATGCCCTTCATAAGTTAATAGACTGTACATTGTAGCTGCTGTAGTCTACTGCTGTCATTCTAAGCATCACCTAGCCAACTTGGTACGGCACAATGCCGCCAGCCCTGCCCACTACTGCCTCCGTGACACTTTATTAGCCCCATACTAACTAACATTTTTTACCCGATGCCTCGAGTCTAATGCCCTGGATGTGTCGAATCGAAGGGGGAGCAGGTCGTGTTTTCAAGCAACCATAAATAATAGGACGGGGCAGGGCCGGCAATCTGACTTCATTCGAGCTACCTCCAAAGTCTTCAAAGGGATCTCTGCAGCCACGATGTGGCACGCACTCCGAATGCCGCGGGCAGCTAGTTCCAAAGCCGTCCATTCATGAACCTGATAAATGAAAGGACAATGTGTAGAGGAGGCATGTAGCAGCAGTGACAGTCTGACAATGACAAACTGAAGACACTTGTAATGTAGCCTCCATACTGAATGCACTCTTGGAAGACATGAGACCTGGGTCATTTTGGGGCTCTCATGTTCGATTTATTAGGCTAGACTAGATTCAGTCTAGCATGTACTCAGCCCATAAGTCATAGTGCTCCGCAAGATGGAGTGATTGACTCATGACTTGAACCATTTTACGTCTGAAGTGCAACCCAGCAACCTGACCAAACGCCGAACTTTGAGTGAGCGGTATAGAGCTCAGATCGGATGCGGATGAGGACTCTGCACCCGTGCTGCTCGATGTGCCAACGGCAGGTCCCATGTCTCTTTCAAACATGGCGCTACTGCTGGCATGACTCATGCGGCCGCCGGGGATGGTGTCCATTGCTAAATGTCGAGCCTACCCTATATTATTAGTGAACTAAGGTCCCCCCCCCCTGTCTTCTAAATTAACTGATAATGTCAGGGCCCGACTCAGCAGACCCACTGCCACTCACTCGACTCGACTAAAATAACCGACCTGTCACTGTCAATCTGACTGCCTATTATTTTATACATGCTCTTAGATAATTACAGGGTTTAAAGGAATTTCAAGGGCCCAGGGCCAGGGCATTAGATTAGTTAGTTAAAGGTGACGGTTAATATTTTAATTTAAACTTCGGGGTGACAGTACAGAACGATCTGTTCATTATCATGTGATAATGATCGGTCGGGGTCGCTTCATATGTATGTCATTAAGTTAAGTTTAAGTTAAACCACGAAAGGTTCTGATTCACTGATGTCCAAGTGACAGCCTGCTTGTGTTCCTGCCTGAATGAGTCACACACTGCGATTGGCTGAAATCGGCAGTTCAGTTGACAGTCATGCATGGTCACCGCATTCTTAGGGTTCATTCTTAGTACCGACTACCTTCATGTTAAACTTGCCTGAAGTCACTTGGGCAGCCCTACAACAAGCAGGATGCGTGCAAATCCTCTGCCATTGACATTCCAGGCATTCATGAATTTACTGTCTCTCGCCCCCCTCCCCCATTCCGCTGCGAATCAACTAGGGCCGGAAACTCTGAAACTCCCGAACTGCAAGCTTTCACTGCTTCACATCAGCATGCAGACAAGTTGCCAGTGGGGGTCCATAGGCCCCCATCTCGGCACCCAGGCCTGACCGACTCCACACTGCAGCAACTATCATAATAGCCTTCACAGACTCAATCAATGACAGGACTTGGAAGTATTGCCGAATCAAGTAACTACGACTGCCATCACAAGTCGTGCCACCCCGAGCAATCATTCAATCTCTAAGTTCCTGATGACGATGATTGATTTGATCTGATCCTACACCTAATCATAATCGTCATCTGAATCTGAGTCTGTCTGAGTCTGTTAACTGTTGTAACATTGTAAGCCACAACTCGCAACGCAAGTAGTGTTGACCGAGGTGCTGTAAAAGCTGTAGGCCTCGATCGGTACCTTCTGCACGTTGGAACCGTCGAACATGACCTCACTGATTAGTTAACTAACTAAGGAATCGCAATGTCACATGTCGGAATCTCAGGACAGGATGAGTTAGTACTAGTGTCTGAGGCCGCTAATCACTGTATCAGCGAATCGTAGCGTTACGTGTTAGTGTTTAGGGTTTAATTTAGGACGTTTAGGATTTAAAAGGGTACTGGTAACTAGTAAACTGTGACTGACGGTTGGGCTGGGATCCAGGCTAGCTTAGCTAGCTTCGACGAGGGCCGGATTCGGGACGGCCGCCTAACACTTCAGTAGTGAATGCAGCAAGGCCGCAAACCTGTTACTTTCTTTTCGGTACGATGTCGTGTCTTGGAGTCTTATTGTTCTCATGAGTAACGTAACTTTTATGTGAACTCAATTAACAGAAGACAGTGCTGTGCCTGTGCTGTGAATGAACCTAACTTAAGTTACAGCTGCCGGGTTGAGTCATTCTGGAGGGATTACGGGTGTTCTTTTTGAATGGTCGACAGACAGAGGCGTCAGGGGTTCAATGAATGATGGCGGACCTTGCCTGCTGCCTGGTACGTAGTTTCAAAGTATCAGCCTACATTAAATATATAAACCTCTAACTTAATTAGACCCACACAAATTCTCGGGCTTATCGCGAGTGCTATCGACGACTTGCGAGAGGCCGGCAGACGACCTAGGGGGTTGGCTCTTGTCGAGGGGCGACGGCCCCACTGCAGTACTGTAGTGTAGGTCCGTAGGGCGGCTTGGGTTTGGGTTCTTTGATGATTTGTGGTTGCGAATCCAGGGCCCTGCGACTGCAATACACCCCGGACGACCATGTCATGTGAAGGAGCTCCTTCTGATTATGTTAGGAGTTCAGTGAAATATCTGAGTCTGACTTCATTATCATTGATTCATCAGCTCGACTTGACTCAATTCGCATAGTCGGTTTCTAAAGTTTCCCCTACCGGGACAGGACTACTACTTAAGAGCTTCGGAACAGATGCCTTCACTTGTTATTTTGGTCTCAACTCTGTCTGAGAACCTGAAACATTCCTTGTTGAATTGAAGCCCCTTGTCTGTGTTGATGTAAGCCCGATTGGTTAAGGTGCTCCGGGCATGCTCCAGAGTCAGACCCAGACCCCACACTGACTGACGCTGAAATTTGAAGCTAGTGGTTCCGGTCCTGTGATTATCAGCGATATTGCTTTTACAATGACAAGTAAAGAATACTGCAGTGTAACGACAAGGTTTGTCAGTCAATTAAACTGAACTTAATTGTACTTTGTTTATTTTAGTTTCCTTCCATAATAAATACTAAATAATTAGTAAACATGACATTGACATGACCACTATAGTTTAAAAGTATAAAGTATATGTCCTGCCCCCCAAGATTATTTATAATAAAATTACGAGCTTATTGAGAGATATTTATTGAATCCATAATGACTAATAATTAGCATTTTAATACTCGGGCAAGGCTTCTAGACTAGCGCGAGGCTTTGCGTTCAAAGGCTCGGGTGCTGTTAAATGATTAGTTACTACACCTTACTAACTTATTAGGTGTAGACATTACTGATTATTAATTATGTGGCATTGGGTTTCGTAATTAACTTTGGGATGAGGCTCTGCGGACTGACTGACTTTAATTATTTCCCGGCTAATCATCATCAATCAAAGCCCAGACTTAATCTGCCCTGCACAACTCCATTCAAACCCAAATTATTTCGTGACCTTAGCATCAACATCTAGAGCTGGCACTGAGGGACTCTATCCTAAAATTTTGAACACAAATGCATTCAGTTGCACAATGACATGAGTAGCCAGCCCCACTGTTGACTTATTTACCTTTACTCTACCGGGTTACCGTGCCCCCTGATTCATGCTTTCCGAGAGCAAAACGTGCAGCTGCGCGTGTGGACCGAACAGCTTCTTCGCCTTCAGCATGTAGGTTGCCTCAGACGTCTTGGACTGGAGTCTTTGCTGGGTGGGCGGGCCGACATGACCGGTTTTGCGTTGAAAACTTAGTCGATGTCACGTCTGTCTGTCACATCTACTATCGGCACTATCACTGTCATTGTCATTTGAATTTGATTCAGTGATTCTGAGAATAATCATACTTCGCAAACGATGTATGTCCACCGATCGTCACTGAAGTTAACTAACTTAACTTAACTAACTTTAGATTCAGATTTCTTAGGACCAATTACGGGTCTCGGTCCGTCTCGGTCGGACCGTCCACGCCGTCGGACTGAAGGCTTTGTCGTTGTACAAAATTGTACTTAACCGGAATTCGACTCATGACTATCGCTTTCAATGACTGACTGACAATGACAATGACAATGACAAACAGGACCCAGCGATTGAAAGTCAAGGCTGCTACACACTTTGTCACACGGGCAAGGGCACTCATACTGTGGTCTCGTCAGTATTATTAATAATCAACCCGTAAGTAATCCATCCAGCGGGCCAAGCTGCCATGTCCCAGGCAGCTAAAGGAAGGATATTGACCTTGGGTAGGGCCTTGTCGATGAGCGCTTTGCGCAGGGTGTAGAACCTGACTGTTGTTTCATTTCCACTCTCTCTCTAGCTCTTTCTCTCTCTCTCTCCCTCTCTCTCGTGTCTGAAGCTCTGACTGAGACGAGAGAGTCACCATTCACAAGATATTAGACTAACACCCAGCTACACTGATTGTAATAATTGCTCACTGTCGTCACTGTCACAGACAGACTGATTCGATGATTGATTGATTGATTGTGTTTCTGTCGCTAACGTGCTGTGCCTGGGCACTGCTGAGTCTGACTGACTGACCCTGGTCAGTCATGAGCGAACATCAAGGTTGCTGCCAGGCTGCTGGCCGTCCCTGACGGAATCAATGATCTCCATTTTGTCGACGGGTCGAAGCGGCCTCGCCTTCTTTGCTGCCAGGGATCGGTCTGCTGTTGCACAGCGACGGCTGAGAGCCACCACATTGTCATCCTAAGTTTGAGTTGAACTTCATTGACGAGTTCAGAATTCAGAACATCACGGGTAGCATGATTCATATAACTTACGAAACATTGAATTTCGTGAACTGGGCCGGAAAGTGAGTACACCCATGTCTGTATCTATGTGTGTGTGTATATATATATATGTATACAGAGCCCCAGTCAGAAGTACGACGATGTACGTGATTGTTTACTTGTGAATCAAATGACGAAGTGTATGATGAACCGGTGTCGCAGCCCATGATTAGTTAGTACTGGTTCATGCTTTGAAAAACGTTATTCATGTACGACTCTGGGTCTGCTTCTCCTCTCAGGTTACAATTTACAATTCCACACTCCAGCCGCCACTACAGTGTCCCGCTGGCATAACTATTATTTGATTTGAAAGACTCTCGATGGGACCCTCGTCCACTCATCCGGTCACCCCTCCCGTACCCAAGCCCTGGACCCTGGACCCAGGACTCAAGTGCCAAGCCCTCAGCTAGGCTAAGGCCCGGCCCAATGCCCAAGACTCCCAGACACAGGCAGGCAGGCAGCAATGAACGCAGCAATCTGCGTCAGCAGTGCCAGGGCCTTCGCCCTCATGAGTTTCACGTCGGACTTAGTCAAGTCGTGCTTCCTGAGAGAGTTGAAGCTTGCATTGAAGGCTTAATTATTGTGGTAAAAACGTCGACTTAAATTAAGACTTTCTCAGAACCGAAGTCCAGGATCGGCAAATAGTAAATTGAAATCAGCGTCGGAGTCTGCGGGATCTAACGACTAATCTCAGGTACTTACTCTGGTTTCAGGAAATATTAGGTGTTATTGTATCTGTTTCTAATCTTCGTCGTCTTAGACAGTGAACAGCCAATGTCTCAACCCGACGGCACCCTGATCTAAGACTTCTTATCACTGACTCACAAGCCGCCCGTTGCCCACTGCTTAAATTAAAGAAGCCCTCTTGCCCTTACTGCACGTACCTACATGCTTCAGGCAGGGATTCGGATCCAAAGCAAACGTAATGGCACTGGCCAATGTGCACGCATTCTCCGGAGCCTGCACCCAGGGCTTGGAGTCGTCCTGGCAGGGATGCAGGGGTTGTCTCAGTCTTATTATCAGTAAGTGATGGTAATTTAATTCATTGATCAGTCCAATAAGATAATGTTCTAGGCCATCGGACTCACGAGGATTCTGTCTGTCTGTCGGGCCGGCGGTCGGTCCGGTGTCCGGTCACCCGGGCCAGCGGCAGTGGGGATAATTGAAAACGAACTACAACAAGACTCTGACTGACTCTGAGATTTCAGGAGAGTCGAAGCAGTAAGAGAGTAGACTGTAGTCATAATAAGTTTAAGTACAGTGGTGTGAACTGAACCTGAGACATTTCAAATTTCCTTGTGATTGCAGTACAGTACAATCGCGGATGTTTGCCACTTATCTCTCGCTAACAAATGAACTGAACTTGTTCAGTCAACCAAACACTGTAACATCAGCTCCAGCAGTTCGGCTGCCCACATATGTGTGAAGTAGCGCGTGGCCCCCCCAGGAACCAGCCACTGCAGCGGAAAAACTGTGTCACTGTCAGCCGGCACATCGACAGACATCAGCGGCATGCCTCGTCACAGGTTCTCTACAACATTAAGGGCTGGAGCTGCTTCACGGGCTGCACCCCTTATTGCTGCTACTGGCTGGCAACGAACCAGGGCCCGTCCTGGTTGAAAGTCCGGTCTCACTAGGAGCTTCATGTGCCCAAGTCTAGCCGAGGCATGAAGCAACTCATCCAGTAAACGGAAGGCGATGGTCCGTGGCCCCTGTTTGACATGGCCATTGCTCAGCGTCCACGTCACAATGGCCACGAGCATCGTCGTCGGCACCGTCTTGTCGTACAGAGCCGCCTTCGTGTTGTCGTCAGCCTTGTCATTATCGCTGTTATCGATTGCGCTGATTCTTCAGAGTCTGGGTCCTACTATTTTAATAGGGCCTGGATCGCAAGATTTGACATGTCAGATGTGTTAGCAGTCTTGCAGTTACAGCTGGAAACGTGCTTAGGCTTAGATGTAACAGCAATGGGCTGCAGCTGAGTGGCAGATGGCGCCGGTTTTTTGGTTACCGAATCACAGATGCAGGGCCTCAGCGGTACTTCTGCCCCCGGCCACATGAGCCGGTGGATGTCCTTGCAGGCGTTCATGACTTTGTCTAGTCGCCGACGCCCTTTTCTGAGTTCCTCCTTCGTTGGAGACACATCTGCAAGACGTGTCATCAGCCGTGCTGCGTGCCACTCTGCCTGAAGCTGGTCTGGACATGCCGGCACATACACATCTAACCCGAGGAGCGTGCGCCGCTCCTTAAACAAAGTCGTCATTGAGTCATCACGACCGACTCTGGAGCCGTAATGGGCCACCGGCAAGATGGGTATTTACACCAAGCCCTTTGAACTTAAGGGCAATTAGAGCCCCAAAACAGAAGAATCCACAGTTTTGGGCTGAATTGCTCGGCTCTCGAATCAGGGCGAGAACTTTAGAGCCACATAGAGTCGTTTAGAGCGATATAAAGCGTCTTGAAGCTGTTTAGAGCGACTTAAAGCATCTTAGAAGGCTATCGAGTGGCTTCGATTGGATAAGAGCGATACTCTACCGATTAAGAGAAATGCCTGTGAGATTGGGGGGCCCCCGGATAGGGGGCCCACGAAACTCTCCTGATAGACTATGCACAAGTCCCAGCCGATCTAAATTCGAATCAACTCCTGAAGCATGCGCCCATTTGTCTAGAACTCATGCCTACACGACTCCAAACTCTACCTACCCGTAAGACACTCTTGAAACTCTTGCAAGTCGCTAAAACTAAACTCCTTTTCGAAGTTAGTCTGAACTCTTTCTAATGTAGGAACTTGATCGAGGAACCCCAGATGTATCAGGATTGATGTAAAGAGCCATGTACAAGACCTTAAACCCTAAACTAAACCATGACCCAGGGTTTTCTTACCTTATGCTTCCAAGGACCATATAGTTAGTTACCCAGACCCCTTAAGGACCCAACAATAAGGGTCCCTGGAAGCATAGCGTTAATCAGGTTCCTACATTAGACCTCAAGCCGCTCGAAACGTCTCTTGAGATCTGGCCCTTCTGGCGTGCTCGATGGCTTGACGACTATGCCCCTCGACTTCGCCCCACTTAAAGGATCATGGGACTTAGTAAGTAAGGTTGTCAGTACCTCAATTGGTTATAAAGTAGTTATAAGTATAGTTACCTTATTTGTAACCCTAGTTACTAAGTCCCATGATCCTCTAAGCAGGGTTGCGGGGTTTCGGCGCAACGAGGTCTCAGAGGCTTTGGGCTTTGGGCGGTTTAGGGTTTAGGGTTGAGGGTTTAGGGGGGCGATATACGAGGGTGTTACGGGTACAGGGCAAAGTGTTGCTTTCGGGCCTGTTCTGATGCCAGGTGCCTGAAATGAGGACGCATGATCTTTAGGCACGAGTCGCTTTTGCAAGGTTTTGCTCTTTAGCTCTGCGGCAGAAGACGGAGTGTAATTACAGTCTAAAGCGAACGTCCTGTATGCACGCTTGCGACAGCAGAAACCGTATAAAGATCAGTTTAGTAGTGCAGCGATGGAACAAGCTGATAGCATTTCTAGTAGCATCCCCGAGCGTGCCAGCCCAGAAAGTTGCTTACTGTATTGTTACTCTTCTCCGGGATGCCATCACCATCACCATCACCATCATCATCATCATCATCTTCATCATCATCATCATCATCATCATCACCATCATCATCATCACCATCATCATCATCCTCTTCATCATCCTCTTCATCCTCATCACCATCGCGATCATGGTCATCATTATCGCTATCGGCATCCTCTTCTTCTTCATCATCAGCATCATCACTACATGTCATCATCAGGTTTCAACAGCCGTGTACGGCAACCATCGTCATATCAAGGGCAACAGCAAAAGCAGGAGCTGTAGCCGCCGAGAACCCCAGCGCGGGCCGCTACCACCACCGGCACCACCACTAATAACGGAGACGTCAACAGAACCAGCACCAGAACACGCACGTACATCCACGACGGCCAGCCGTAAAGCAATTGTTCCATAGTCACAGCGGTGCGTATGCCAGCTTGCCATTGTCAAACTTGAAACTCCACACCCGAAAGTCCCAAACCCGAGACCTCCGACTTTCTATCCGGATAAGGACGGATCGAGCTCCAAACCGCCTTTGCTGACAGAGGCCAGTTCTTTGTTACGTTTTGATTTGGGACGGTTGTTCATTACCCATATTATTGTTTAACGTACAGCCCTAGTTAGAAATAATTTTGGAAACTGTTGAAATGGACACCTACGGTTGATGATATAAATCCTGCATTACCCAGAATAAGGAATATACCATAATTCCTATAGTCCAGCGTCATGAAGGTAATGCAGGATTTATATCGTTAGGGTCCTTCAGGTAATGCAGGGTTTATATCGTAGTTTGCTCTTGCAAAACTATTTGAATTATGGTAAGGGGACCCTGGCTTTCTATCATGAACCGTAGTTTGCTCTTCTTTGTTGCCGGTCATGGGTTCATCGCGGGTTTACTGCTTCGAGTCTCTACCTGGCCCTGGAGCTCCGTGGGTTTAGGATTTAGGGCTTAGGATTTAGGGTGTAGGATTTAGGATTTAGGGCGTAGGATTTAGGGTTTAGGATTTAGGATTTAGGGTTTAGGATTTATAGGGTTTAGGATTTAGGGTTTAGGGTTTAGGGTTGAGGGTTCAGGATTTCGGGTTTAGGGTTTAGGGTTACTGAGGTATATAGGAACATGTGGCTAGTCATCTACTATTTAGGAAACTGGAGCCTTAGCGTCAAGGTATTTAAGGCTCAGGGTTTCAATTGTGTGAGGGCCTTGAGTAGATTCTAGTAGATGTATATGGGGGGTTCTGGCGTGTTCAGAACATCATAGATGGGCCGCGCCTAAGCACTCAAGAGTTCACAGCAGCAACATGCCATGTGCGGAACCTAGCTAAGATGGCAGTTTCCGACAATTAGGGGTACCATATTTTGTGGTAGGATGCTACTATTTAGGGTGCTATATTAGGGTCCCCTATTTCGGAAACTCCCATATGTTCCCTCTCCTGTAAGCCTAGTATCCCTGCAATCCGAAGCCCTGCAGCCCCAGACCCTGTAATCCCCACAACCCTACCACCCTAAACCTACAGCCCTGACCCTCAACCCTTATACCCCTAGCCCTGCAACCCTGGTATAGGGGACTTTTTAATTTCAATAGGGTTCCGGGTCATATTCTACTACTACAAATACAGTTATTAAGGAACCCCACCAAAAGAGTGTTGGCAATATGCCCCCTAAAACCCAAACTACAAAAACCCTAAACCCTCAAATCCTGCAACCCCCCAAGCCCCTAACTACACCCTCCAGTAAACCCTTCAAGGAGCCCCTTAAAGGAACCCTTGCAAGGAACCCTTAAGTACGTTACACCCCGGGTAAAAGCGTTACGGGGTCCTGGTCTTTTACCCAAAACCCTAGACCCTAAGCCCTAAACCCTAAACCTCAAGCTCACATTAAAAAAAAACCTCAAGCTCAAAAACAAAGCTAGACCCTAAGGGTTACAGATCCCTAATACAAACCCTCATGGATCCCTTTAACCGCCTTCCTAAGCCCTATAGAGCTCCCCTATCAAAACCCTTATGGGTCCCTTAACCACCTAGGATGCCCAGTAGTACCCTTATTCCCTTTTTGTAGTCCTAGGTTCCTTATAAAGGTACCCAATACCAAAAAAGGAGCCCTTTCTTTCCTAGTGCCATGGATCCCTCTAACCACCGTTCAAAAGCCTAAAACCGTGGCATCTGCTAGCAGACTGGTGACGAGCGGATGCAGGTGATGGCAGCTCGACTTGCATTGGGGCGTTCCTTTAAGGCTTCCTTTAAGGGTTCTTTTCAGGCTTCCTTTAAGGGTTCTTTTTAAGGGTTCCTTTAAGGGATCTATAGGGCAGCTCGACTTGCATTGGGGTGTTCTACCTTGGGGGGTTTGGGTTTCATGGGGTTTGAAGGGTTCAAGGGTATTGGGGTTTGGGGGTTTAGGGGTTTACGGTTTAGGGATTCAGGGGTTTAGGGTTTAGGGCGCACCTAGGTTTCTACGCCTTTTGCCCTTTGGGTTTAGGCGGGGTTAGGGTTTACGTATCTTAAACCCTATAGGTTTAGGAGGGGCTTGTGGGTTTAGGCACCTGCAACCCTACAGGTTTAGGGGGTTCAAGGGTTTAGGTTTAGGGTATAAGCTGTAGAGAGTTTTTGCGGTTTCACGAGGTGTGTCGGTTTTGGGTTTTCGTAGTTTTGGTTTTGGGTGTAGGCGGTGGAGGCATATGCAGCTGAGTTTCAAGAGTAGGTATCTTTAGGTTTCTGCAGCAGGTCCCGAATCAGAAATCCAATCTCTGCACCCTGCACCCCGACCCGCCCCCCCCCAAACCCTAAACCGGCGAAGCCCTAAGGGAGATAGTTCAGGGTTCTGAATAGAAGAAGTACAAATACGACTCCCGAACAGTGCCTATGTACTTAATTGTACCACCAGGTACCCGCCCGAACCCCACGTGCTAATTTCAAGCACCTGCATTTCCGTGGTGAAGAGGTTAGGGTGCTAATTTCCTGAGTTTGGTTTTAGGGTGTAGATTTTGATTGATTTAAATAAAAGATTTCTTTTTGCAAGGGGATTGCCTGCCCCCTCCCCCTGTTCTAACCCGAGCGTGGACAGGCATGGGGCTCAGTACCATGTCGCGCGTTTTTTGAGTTTAGGGCTTGCAGGGTCTATAGTTTCTCCTTGAGAACTTTAGGCAACGGAACATACATGCCCTCAATCCCAAACCATCCTAAACTTTAGGATGGTTTGGGATTGAGGGCATGTATGTTCCGTTGCCCGCTTGCTACCTTTTGAAATACAGCAATAATGGTCAATAACGTTGTTGCGCTGTCCTTTTCGCATGTTTGCTACGGCACAGGTGCAGCCGTCACATCAAGTCACGAGGCCTCAGCTGCTTCTAACCCTGAGCCGAATCATGAACCCAATCCCAGACGCCATTCTACAGTCCAAACCCTGACCTTTCCGGCGACGCTGGACGCAAGGGGTTCGAATGCGTAGCGGTCATATACCTGCCGCATGTAAACACCACAAACCTAGACCCAAATACTTAGTCATGCATACCATTGTTGCTGGACGAAATTCTGCATTATCTCAGGTATCCTGTACTGCGGAAAACACTGCGTATTCCTTATTCTGCAAGATGCAGGATGGTACCCATAGCCGCAGGATTTTTGAGGGTACTTCAACATGACCTCAGATCAGGTCACATCCAAGCTGGCAGAAGGCACACCTTGTGTACT